GTAGTTTAAGTAAGTAGTAGTAGTAGTAGACGTGTATANAATATATATATATATATATATATATATATATATATATATATATATATATATATATATGTATGTATGAATATACAAATAATTTCTCTCTGTGAGTAAGGTGTTGAGTAAAGATTGCTGGATTGATATTACACGGAAGTTCAAGACTTGAAAGCCAGTACATAATTATAATTTTCGCGTGTACTACTTCTCGAAACAGTATTTCTGTGCATGCTCGATGACTACCAGATATAATTGAACGTATAAAATGCAGGGTATCATGTTGCCTCGAACGTTGCTTGCCCGGAGAGGTCCCTCTAGTCGGATAACTTTAGCTCAGGGCAGCAAAAATAGGCACGTGCAATTGTACAGTTGCTTGTACTCTACTGTGTCGAGAACATACATTGATACACACACCCATTTGGACATGATACTGAAGCGCCTGCGACAGCCTCATACTCACTACCCAGCACTTTGCAAAGAAGTGCATCTCAACACACCGATGGAAGCCTGCATCCATGTGAGTTGTTCACCTGCTACATTCGAGGACGGCTTGCGTCTTGTGGAAAACTACGACAATGTTTACGGTGCATTTGGTGTACACCCTAAGAGTGCTAAAGAATACAACCTCAGTGTGGCGAAGAGGATACGAAGCATACTACTGCCGACTTCTCGCGAAGCGAGCGTACACGACAGGGACATGCATAACTCGCATACAGCAGAGAATGACGAAACAAATACTAAACGATCTATAGAATCAGGTAATAACAAACAACCTAAATCATCGGAAGATAACACGCGCACCGCTAAAGATGGCCGGGATACTAGTGATAAACCGTTTGTGCGGCGTTACAGAGCGATAGCCCTGGGCGAGTGCGGCTTAGACTACAGCCAGCGAGACAGCTGGGGAGGGGATGAGAAGATACGACATGAAAAAGAACTGCAGAAACGCGTGTTTATTGATCAGATCCAATTGGCCGTGAAACTCAACGTACCGCTTGTGATACACACACGAGAGGCTGAGGACGATACGTTGGAGATACTCATGAGACATTTGCCGAGTACACACCCTACTCATTTGCACTGTTTTACGTCTCACGTGTCGTTAGCAGTAGCTTTATTAAAGTCACATACAGGTTTGTGTATAGGCTTTACAGGAGCAGTGACCTTCAAAAGCGCGCATGTGCTGAGAAATACCGTTAGAAAAGTACCTCTAAATAGAATTCTATTAGAGACAGATGGACCTTTCATGGCTCCAGAGCCCCACCGCGGTAAGACCTGTGTACCTTCGATGATTCCATATATAGCAGAGTGCGTTGCCAAGGTGAAGGGGGTTGACGCGTCACAAGTGTATGAGCAGGCGAGGATAAACACGCATAAAGTGTACGGAATTTAGTATGCATATGTAGTGAGTTGATAGGCTACATACCGAACAATCATAAAAATTTCGACGTTAAAAGGTATGCCAATTGCCACAAAATCTGTCAATTTTCGATGGAACCTCATATAGCAGAGTGCGTTGCCAGTGGACGGGTCACAAGTGTATAAGCAGGTGCGGAGACACACGTATAGGGTGGACGGAATTCCATATGTACATGTAGCTAGTTGGCAAGCTAAAAGCCGAATCTTCATAAAACTTCGACGTTGACGTCGCTTACTCGACTTGAAATGATTTAAAGTAGAAGTAAGACGGGCAGAGAAATACGTATAAGTTGTACGTAATTTAGTAAGTATACATAGTTGACAGACCACATGCCGGAATCTTCATAACATTGCTAAGCTACGTCGCTTACATGCTCAAATTAAAATGCAAGTATGCCGACTACCACAGTATCATACTCTTTGTGACATATATTTTTGATTGACGCCCAACTCTTTTTCCAGCTATGTGCGTCGTCCTATATTGATACACATACAAATTTGGTCAAGTAAATACATCCGAGAAAATTCCGGGGCTGGCTACCTGTACGACTTAACTAACATAATAATCGTTACCCTTTATCTATTCCTCCTTTGGCATATATTTAGCCTTGTAGCTCTCGTACTCGTTGAAGTGCAACACATCTCCTTCGTCCTTGACTGTCTTGCAGTAATCCATATCGGACATAAAGGCGAGAATAGGATTTCGCACATCCTTCTTGTAGTGATGACCCAGAGCCGGTTTAGCGTACTCTGTGGCTTCCACTAGGTTGTAATGTGCTATCTTGGTGAAGAAGAGATGGTGCAACACGTGTGTCTCGATGTGGTGCATAAAGTAGTTGATTATAGGCCCAAAGTCACGGTCAACAGTAGTCGCAGCACCCTTCACAAAAGACCACTGAGCGTTGCGGTAGAATAGTGACTCGGGGTGTGTGTGGTGCAGATTAGTGACCAGAGAGAGCCACATTGAGAAGATTATATAGGGGATGAAATACCAATCTACGAATGCAAAGAATCCTGCTAGGACAGTAGGCGTGTGCGCCACAGAGAAGCTGAAAACCGACATAAGGAAGGCAGCGATCGATGCGGTTCCTACTGTTGCGCATATCCTGTCGTGCGTGGTTTTAAAAAGCACTTCATTGAACGGATTGAAGTGTGATCCATAGACCAAGTCTCCAGCCTCGGCCACAAGTAGATAGTATGGGAACATCAGCAAGGATAACGCAGTGAAACGTATTGATCCATACCAAGTGTTGTCGTCCTTCCAGCCCTTTGCTGTAGACTCCTTCACAGGTGTCCAAGTCTTATCCCGATCAAGATCATTGTGGTACATATGGTGAATACGGTGCGATTGTCGCCAGCCGTGGTACGGTACTAATAGTGGAACGTGCGCCACATGACCTACAATCATGTTGATCGCCGGGCTGGTGGAGAATGTTCCGTGACCGGCGTCGTGTCCAATCATAAACAAGCACCACAACTGGAAACCCATTAAATTCCACCATACTAGTCTTGTAAATACTGACACCAATGATCCGTATGCACCAGACATGAAATCTGAAAGCAAGTACACACGCAGTGCATACAAAAGTCCGATTAAAACAATATCTTGTACTAAGTAGGTCAATCCCTTGACGGTGCTGATCTCCCAGCAGTGAGGAGGGATAGCAGCACGCACCTTAGCCATGTTGACTACATCGTCGGCTTCCTTTGGATTGTTCGTACGACTCTTAAGAACAGTGGGTGCAGAGGATTCCTGTTCCACAACGGGATCAGTACTGCTAACTACACCGTTATTCTGGTCAGCAGTGCACGATTCGAAAGTCAACCCCATTGTATATTTGTGAAACACCACCGTGCTATAGCGATACGAGCTGTCTCGATGATACTAAGGTGGTAATTGAAAAGAGAAAGGGATATCGCTCGCATTATAATTCGCAAAATTCGACAGCATATATATATAAATATAGAGCAGGATAAAATGTTTCTAAGTCCCAAACTCCCCACAAGAGACAGAGAGTCCAGACTCTCTCTTTACTATTTACTGAGAGAGATAGAGAATAACTCTAGTAGAGAGACTCCAGTCCAGACGCCAGACTCCAGACTCCAGAGCCCAGAGTCAGGGCTCACTCCAACGTTCAGTGAACAGGTCCACCGTCCACGAGGCAAATGAACAAAGGCGAGTCATCAAAACTGAATATTGTAAAAATTATTATGTCATCGAAAAGTGCATGTGTGTGTAGATTCCATGACGAGAGGATTCTTGAACGAACGCCATAGCCATATTTCATTAATTAAAGAGAGTAGGGCAGTAGGCTATGCGAACGCGGCAACGCACCAAACCGAGTGAGTGTTTTGTGTCAATGTGTCTCTTGCATTTTGGATTTGTTTCAAAACAAAAACGAATAAAGTACCAGACCGACTGAGCAATCGCAGCTTCTAAAAAGAACAGAAGGCTATGTATTATTAAATTGGAAAAAAAAACAAGAGAGTATGTAGTTAATTACGAACAATTTTTATATAGAAGGGAAAGTGCCCTCTCCTCTCAATTAAATACAAGAGTACTACTTTCTTGATAACATTAGCAACATTATTTTAAATACACAATAAGTAGTATTATCGTAAACACGATGTCTCACGCCTGACAGAGCACATGGAACTGTGGAAGTGCTTTTTTTAGAACATTGGCACTTTGGAATTTCGGAGAGGTAAATATTTACAAAGTTGGAAATTCTTGGAACTTGACAATTGCCATCGTCATATCGAGATTATTGTCGTCATCGATTCTCTGGAAAATCAAGTGTCAACGTGAGCCCAAGCCCCAAAGTCCAAATCCTTCAATTGACCGTCTTCTTCTATTGAGCAAGGGCCTTCAGAAAGAATTGGGGGCAGTCAAACACGTATATCCTGGGAGTGGAGCCCTGCGATTGTTCACTTCTAGTATTTTTGATTAAAAAAAAGCCTGTCCTCATTTAAACAAAATCAAATGATGGACCGATATAATAAGCCTATAAGATTATTATGACAGATTGGCAGAATTGTATGCTTATAGTTTTGACACATTATCATAGCCTTCTATTATATGACGTTATTTCAACAAAAATATTCATAAAATATTTCGACACTTTTGAAATACATCCACAAAAAATAGTCATCAATATTTTGATGAATATATATGACGCTATCAAAACATAAAATGTACATGTCACAACAGTGATATATATATATATACATTTATATATATATATATACATATATATATGTATATATGTATATATGTA